TTGGAATGGTAGATGAAGAGATTGAATATGTGGTCGATAAATTGGAGATGTTCATCCTCATTTTGTGCTTATCAAGGATGTAACTAAGGGTAAAATAAGAAGAACAATGCCGAATGTGATGTTATAAATAACCTATCAGATTTCAATGGCGAATAGCCCATCACATAGGAATGGAGAAAATGAGCTGGACCCGTTTTCTTTTTAGCGTGAAATTGAACGTAACAATCCTACCTTTTAATTTATTTTGCGAAAAAATCCCTACTTTGTGAATTGTAGGGATTTTTTTGCACAAAAATATTGAAAGGTGGGGACGTTTTGTGTTAATTAGCCATTTTGTTGAATTAACGGAGCATTTGACGGTAGGTGGATGGAAGGACATTTTTCGCAATGAAAGGTGAAAGTGAGGGTGAAATTGTCAAAAATAAAAGTTATGGACGTTTTGCACAGAAACAATGAAAGGTGGAGACGTTTTGTGCTAATTAGCCTAATTTCAAATATCAAGGTAAAAGAAATTAAAACTACAATTGTGGCATGTGTTGCACTTCTCAAGTTATTAACAAACCAAGATATTTGAAGTAGTTTTACCGTTTCATTTAAAAGTCAGCAGCTGTTAGATGAAGAAATTTACTTTAAATTGTCTTCAGTATGCTGCCAGGATCATTTTCCCCCCAAAAAAGTCTTAAATGTGCACAAGTTCATTAAATGGACGGTGCTGAGACTTTAACTAAGCACATTACTTGTTTTGATTACATTTTGAACCACTACATTGAAAAGCTTAAACTATTAGTGAGGTGACAAATTTATCTATTTAACATTTGTCTTCTACACAACTCTTTTCATATTAAGAGCGGTTGCATTTTGACATCTTAATTCCGAGTCCTAACTTCGTGCTATCACCATGATCTCTTTTGACTGATTGTAAAAATAGCGCATCAGGTCACCTTGTAACTTTATGGTATGCTCTGTTTTTCCAACACGTGATAACGTATGTAATTTCTGTGTCAATAGATATGTTGATTTATTGTTGGGAGAATTTAAGCACTATAAAACAAGGCTCGCTCATGGAGGCATTCGAGAGGAGGTAATGGCTGTAAATTCAATATTATTAGTTTCTTTCTGAAATTAATGACATCAGATATTTTAATTACAAAATCATTTTGTACATTAAATTTGTACCATCGCTGGTGCACTGGTTCCACGTGCGAATGGAACGGTTAAAAACAGTGGCAGTCACTCAACTTATAACAAAGTTTTATGATGGTTACCAAAGTTTACTTTGTTTCAACATGATCACTGAAGTCTGAACGTTACTTTTTGTTTCAGTTTAGTCACTGAATTAAATTTCGTTAGTTTTTTCTAATAGGATGGCTAACATGGAAGGCCTCCAAGTCAACGACACCTAATTGTTATCTGCCACATCAGATAGTCCTTAAGAAAACTAATTAATTTTAGCTGACCGACCGGACTTAAACAAAAAATAAACTCTGGTTACCATTTTGAAACGAAAAATAATGTTTGTTGACTAACATGATACTTCACTATGAGTGGAGTAACTAAATTGTTTGAAATCCACAAGCAACTTTTTGGCGAGGGGATTTTAAACTCTAATTAGTTAGGTGAAAACGTAGATCACTGTTAACATGAAATTTTGCTTTAGAACTGAAGCATATGGGCAGGGATGGGAGATATGAATTTTCTTAAATTGCGCAAGCTTATCCTTTGAGAACAAAATTGATATTGTCTTTATGTCTTAAGCCTTGTAATGATTGCTTTCCTGGGATCAATATTTGTATTACTCATTATTCTGATTTTAAAGTTTTTATGTCAAACTTTCAAGCTTTAGCTGATCATCTGCGTTTTATCTTCATGGCTATTACAACAACAAACTAAGCCCTTTTGGTTGGATAAAAATTGACTTTTTAGTAGATTTTGATGAAAGGTTGTGAAATATGTGGTTAAAAAGTTGTGGGTTTTATGAAAATGAGTTTTAAGGAACGGGACCAAGTAATAACCCCTACAACTTTGATCAGCTGCATAAATCATTATCCTCCACTCCACTCAATTCGTCAATATATCTACTGGAAGATACAAAGCTATTTGATCCTTGGCAATGACAACACTCCACCGCGATGTAGCGTCACTCATGTGAAATGGATCTTATCTTTAAGACTGCAGTTTTTGAGAACTATTTTTACATTCTTGGCTTGGACTTTTTTTAAGAATTTGGCTAGTGAAGTGAACGTTGAAGCGAACTTACAGACAGGAAAATATCATATTGTGCTGCCCTGTTTCAATGACTTACTAGTGACGCCTGTAATCCCAGGTACAAGACCTCCTCTTAGAATATGGACTAGAAAATGTTGCTGAAACTCTGATCGAGGGTCTATCAAGGGTGAGGAGATGTACTGATGAGGGAAGGGCTCTCATGTCGCTGGATCTTCAGGTTTCATTTTACTTCTGCTGAACTGTTCCATTGCTTTTGACCATTTTATTTACTCTACTTTCTCGTTCTCAGGTTTTAATTAACGGCCTAAAGCATTTTGTCTCAATCGATGTGAAACCAAAACTGCAGATGGTCGAAACTTTCATTAAGGTTAGAAATAAAAATACATTTTATTTACTGGGCATTTTCATTGTAATTGCTTCATATATGTATATAATATTACTAACTGATTCCAACAGGCTTACTACCTTCCGGAAACCGAATATTTCCACTGGGCTCGGGATCATCCGGTATGAAAATGGATTGTACTACAATCGACATTTTAATATTTTGTTTCAAATATTAAATTTGCTTTGTTTACAATTAAATTTGCAGGAATACAGTAAAAATCAAATAGTTGGGTTGATCAACCTTGTTGCAACAATGAAAGCGTGGAAAAGGAAAACCAGGTTGGAAGTGTTGGAAAAAATTGAATCAATCCTTTCATAGAGCCTGTCTGTATTACAGGGCTGGGCTTCCCTCGATTTTTCGTGCTCTGTTGTAAAGGCACCTTTTTTTTTTTTTTTTATTTTAATAGGAATTCTCACGAGTTTGTATATTGTTCTATTTGTAATATTATTTTTCTCCCATAAAGGAATAAGATTGTCATTTTGAACTGCACCGTCGAAGTTCTAATTATTTATGAGTTGGCAAAGTAATGTTTAGAAGCGCTGTGGCCGTCGATCAACGTCAACGGACGGTCAGATCTATCTGCTTTTTGAAAAGCAGTATATTTGGACATTCAGTTCAATCTTTCTTACCTTTTACTTTTAACCCACGTAGCCATGTAGCCCTACTATCTCGACACGTGTGGTCATGCGTAACTGCTTCTTGAACGCTCTACAGCCGTGAGCTTCAAGAATTTATAGGGCACTTTCAAACGGATTCAGAGACAGGGAAAATCCAAGAAAAATGGCACCCAAGAAGCGTCCTGGGAAGATGATGAAGACGGTGGTCACGGCCAAGAAAGTGGTGGAGGAAACCGTGCAAGTGGTGGTTACTCCCACGGAGAAAGAGAAGGGAAAAGTAGAGGTGGTTTCTTCATCAACCAAAGAGAGAGAGAGTGAAAATGTGGAGGTTTTCACTTCGCTAACAGAGAAAGAGCCTGTAATAAGGTCAGTTCCTGTTCAAGACAAAGAAGAACCACCACCAAAGCAGCCGGCGGAAGAGGGAGATCAAGACGAGACACAACCAGCATCGGAGCCTGAAACCGCCCCTCAGCCACCACAAAATAAAGAAGAAGAAAATAAGGAGAAGAAAAGAAAATCACCACGAGTCAAAGAGCAAGGAAAAAAGAAGAAGAAAAGAGGAAGAGCAGCTGGTGAAGGAGGTGAAGGGTACAAAAGATATATATTTATGGTTATGAAACAGGTTCATCCTGACATGGGACTTTCATCAATGGCTATGACTGTTATCAACAATTTGATGTCGGATATGTTCGAGAGGATCGCCAATGAGGCAGCAGGGCTACTGAAGTTTAGTGGACGGACGACCCTTTCGTCGAGGGAGATTCAAGGGGCAGTGAAGTTGGTATTGCCTGGAGAGCTTGGGAAACATGCTACTGCTGAGGGAACTAAAGCTGTTACCAACTATATTTCAACCATCTCCAAGCATTAATTTGTCCCGAAACTGTTTTAGTGGGCACTCCTCACTTGTTAATGTAGCACAAGAACCTTACCATTCTCACACTGGTAAGGTTCTAGTGTCACATGTAAAGTCTTTATCCTATGCACATAGGGCACAGAAGGTTAGGTTAGCGTTAATGTAGATTGTGTGTAATAATTAGCTGTTAATTTTCAGTTTGTAGTTTAGAACTTGTGCCACTGCCACGAGATTGGTACGTACACGCGCATTTTCTCTTTATAAGTATTTGTATGTGTCTTAGTTTTTACCTTTTTAGTGGATTGATCATCTTGTTTCTTTCAAAATTAACCAGTATGGATAATTTACCAATGAATTTTTATATTTAGTAACAGCTAAACGTTAATTTCAATTATTATTCATGTAGATAAATTATTATCTGTATGAAATTATATTATCTATGCCCTCTTATGTTGGGCCCCACCTATCTCCTACGTCTCGAATCTAACCTTGTTACTTTCATCCATATCTCCATCTCTTTGCGGCTTTGCCCACAGAATAAATAAAATCCAACTGATTACCAGTCTCGTCACCTACATGCGGACACGTACGCAAGGACAACTATATATGACATTGAAATGCTTACTACATAGTACTCGATAGATTGCAACCTCTTGTCCTGAATCTCTCTCCCTCTAATCTAGATTTTAACAGTATAAAGTTGAAGCTCACCGCCACCATTCTAATGAGAAGATTCTTCCAAGAAGATGGCGGCGCAGACACTTCAGGTAGTACTCTCTCAGCTTCCGCAACCGCATATCCCATTTTCCGACCCAAAAACGCAAGCATAAAAGCACCATTTTCTCCTCCCTCCTCATCAGCTGTGGACACCTTTATGCCCTTTGCAATCCTTGTCCTCCTCATAGCCCTCTTCTTTATGGCCTTTTTTTCGCTCTACATCCGCCGCCTCACCGCCGACGAATCTTCCTCCTCTGCTGACCACCGCCGGAGAAACCCATCTCTGCCGTCGCCCAACAATCGCAAGGGCCTTGATCCCTCTGCCATCAAATCATTGCCTTTGATAGCTTGTAGTGTGGCCGCGAAGCACAGGATTGAAGAATGTACAATATGTTTAAGCGAGTTCCAGCAGAGAGAAATTGTGAAGGTAATCCCCTACTGCAAGCACGTGTATCATCCCATGTGTATAGACACGTGGCTGTCATCGCACGTGACCTGTCCTCTGTGTCGGTCCTCTCAGCTGTTCGATGAGGTTTCTTTAGGTATGAAGCAGCAGAAGAATAACAATTGTGTGAGTGGGGATGGTGAGAGATCGACGGTGGATAATGTGGCCCCGTGGAGGGACGAGGAGAGAGTTTAATTCACATGTTGCTACAGGGTTGCTGATTTTTATTTTATAGGTGTAGTTTTATATCTATTTTTGTGATTACTTGCACTAAACTCAATTTTCAAAGTTGTGTGTTAGTAATTTTATATGGTAGCGTTCCTGAAGTTTGTGCATTTTGAAATGGCAAAGATGTTGGTCTGAGTATCGGTGGATCGATCGATCGATTATTTTAATACTCAAAAATCATTCATTATACTTAGAATTTTCCATAAATAGAACCATATATTTTAATACTCGAACATCATTCATTATACTTATAATT